CCCGCGGCGATTGGGCGGAGAGCAGGTCAGGGCACCCGAGGGACCCGCCCCGCCCGGCTCATCCCTGTCCCCAGCCTGAATCCTGGCACGTGCTCCGCACTCCCCTGACCTGGCCCCCGGAATGGAGCCCTGCGGGGGCACAGCGACCTCGGTGGTGCCCCACCCTGGAAGTGACAGTGGGGAAGCTGAGGTCTGGACGTCGCCCTTGGGAACCCAACTACACCTAAGTGGATTCTGTAGTCCTTCACTTAAATAATGGGCTAGCCTCTGGAGGGTCTTACCTGTCTTCAGACCTGACCTCTGTGAGCTGTCCCCCAACTGCTGTGTAAGAAACAAAGCTGGGCAAGCGCCTCCCCGCTGACAATCCTGGAGACCCTACAAGGACTGGTCCCTGCCTTCAGCCTCATCGCCACCACCATTCCCCACATATCCCTCTAGCGCTCCTCTGGGTGGGCATCTTGGACTTCGTGCTGTTTCTTTGCCCCTGTCCCTGCTCCACGCCTCACCTCCTACCCTGGTTTCTACAAGCCCAGCTGAAGGGTTCCAGAGCCGGAAGCCGTTGTTGCATAGCACAGGTGCCCTGCTGCGTCATACTGGAGTCTTCGACAATGGGATGTTGCACAGCCAATGTAAACATTTTCATGTATTCTGAAAATAGCATATTAACTGTTATTTATCTGGATGATTGGATTTTATAGTGCCCTTTAAAGCGTGCACCCCAGCCAACGTCCTGCTTTGTCCCCCTGAAGGGTTCACCTGCACCGCCCTTTCCTCTGATATGTTGGAAAGCCTTTGCCCTCTCTGTGGTTACAAAAGGATTACGATTCTCAGCACCCAAGCTTCTTTGACAACACACTTCTGCCCAACACATACTGGAAAGTTATAAAACATTACACTAACACAAAACCAGCTGGGCACGTCTGTAATCCCACCAGCTCAGGAAGCTGAGGCAGAAGGATCGCTGAGAGTTCAAAACCAGCCTGAACTGCATGATGAGACCCTGAAACCCACCCCCACATCCATCCGTTCCTCCCTGAGCTAATGTTACTTTTCCCCAAAGGTTAAAACACACAGATTCCCTTATCTAAATCTAAAGGGCCTTTCTGAGGCCAAAACAAGAGGCCTTGACAACTCCCAACTTTGCTGTAGCACTTTAGTCACAGTACAGGTGTTCCTAAGGATTAACGAGGAACGGGATGCCCTGGAAAATACATTTCTAAAACATCTACATTTGCCGACTCAGATCCTTTCTCATGTCTTCATTCCCTTATAAAAACCCCAATCTCTCACCCTGACCTCAGGATTCCTGTCCTGGAAACTCACCCCCTGTTCCCTTGATGGTTTCTATTGTTCCTCTAGTCCTGGTCTCTTGGTGAACTCCCGGGCCTTCAGTGCTGGTGGGCTTGGCCCTTGCCCTCCCCCTTGGCTCTGGGACTGCTTTCCCATCCTCCAGGACCAAGTGGCCCTGCATGTACTGTGCTGTCCGCAGGGAACTGTGAGCAGAACAAAACTGTCAAGCCCTTTCCAGATAGTGTCTCTTGATCTGTGTGTCTGGCTTCGCAGCACCTCAGTTAAGGTAATATATAGCTAAAACAAGGCAGGCAGGAAAATCTTGAGAGAACACTAATGCCAAAGTCAGGATGGCAGGAAGCACTGGGGCCTGAGACCTGTCACCTCCTCTCCCATGGCCTCTGCCATTCTCCCCCCGATCCAGAGATCAGAAACCATTTAGCCATCTGGTGGTGGGGGTGTGTTGTTGTTCAAAGAGGTGCCCTTGGTGGGACAAAGCAGAGACGCTAACCCTGTTCCACAGCACACCCCATATGGATAGGCTAAGTTTTACCTGTGAATTCTTAGGTTTGACTATTGCACAGAACTAGGCTTTATTATTAATAATAATAATTATACTATGTATTGAACCCAGGGTCTCATGCATGTTAGGCAAGGGTTCTACCATTGAGTTATAATATGGCCCTATTTAAACTTTATTATGAGATAGAGTCTCACTAAGTCTCCAGGCTGGTCTTGAACTTGTGATCTTCCTGCCTCAGGCTCTCAACTATCTGAGACTGCATCACCATGCCTGGCCAGAATTGGATATTTTAATTACTGAAATTCATGGGATTAAAATGTTTGAAGCCCTGGAAGGATGGACTAAAAAACTAGTGCAACCAGCTCTAGGTTCCACTCAGAGATGGGAAAGAACTTGTTCCACACAGCAAGATGGATGGATGAGCAGGGCAGGAGGAAGAGGGAGATAAGAAAGTTGCTTTTTACTGCTTTCTATCTCTTTTGGTGAAACTGTGACACATATTGAATCTCTCCAGCCCAGACCATCTCTGCTTGTCCTTGATGCTGGAAAACACTGCCAAGGAATGAACAGCTTAGTAGACAATGGGGGCTCACACAACTCTATCAGTTGGCTGGCTTGGAGTTCTTTTTCCCAAGAATAGCAGTTACACCCCATGCTTCTTCTGTTTCTGCTGTACACCCTTCCCCTTTCTTCTAAAGGACCGCTCCATTTTTTTACTGGGTAAAAATTTTCATATATTCCAACTATTTTTTCTTGTGTGTCTTCATTGCCTATGTTGGTTCACGAGTGGTCACCAAACATAAACTGGGCCAAAGCTTTTCTCAGTGCTTTTGTTTTTATCTATCCATTTATTTTAAATATGGAATGCTTCATGAATTTGCATGCCATCCTTGCACAGAGGCCATGCTAATCTACTCTGTATCATTCCAATTTTAGTATATGTATTTCTGAGGTGAGCACGGTGTTTTTAAAGCTCAAAATAGGAGAAAATCTTCCACTTTCATCTACAAAGCATAAATTGTCATGGAAAATGTCTTCTCATTGTGAACACTGAAAAGAACAACAAAAAAAAATTAAGAAACAACTGATTTAAGTATCAGATAAAAAGCAGCAAGACTGTGACAACTGTGAGAAGAGAAACAAATGCGGTGTGTCTCAAACAGTCCTAGATTCCTATCCCAAAACAGTTTCTGGGCATCACTGCGGGGATGCAGAACCCAAACAGGACCCAGCAGTTTCACAGAACACAGGAGACAGAGATCTGAGCTCAGAGAAGCCAAAGTGGCTAGGACTTGTGGAGCAGAGAAGCAGAGAGGAAGGGAGCTTCAGAGAGAGACACAGAAGGCGTGTGGGAGCTTGAAGAGCTGGAGCCTCGTGGGACTCACAGGTCATTTGGGTATTTGCCTTAAGAGGAGAGTGGGGGTCCCTCCTTCTCTTCTCTTTGTGGTCCTGGAGGTTAAATGCAGGGCCTTTGCAAGGAATGACATATCTAGCCCCTCTTATTTTTTATTTTGAGACAGGGTCTCACTAAGTCACTAAATTGCTCTGGCTGGGCTCAAACTTGCCATCCTTCTGCCTCAGACTCACAGAGGGCTGGGATGAAAGGTGTGCACCACCATGCCCAGCTCCCTTCTCTCTTTTTTGCTTCCTGACCATGAAGTGAGTGGCACTGCTCTACTATTTTTCCTGCCACGATATACTGTCGTGGTACAAGCTCAAAGGCAATGGAGACAATCAATCTGTGGGCCAAACAAATCCTTTTTCTTTATAAATTGAGTATCTCACGTTTGCTATAATAATGGGAAGCTGACTAACACAGTAGGAATGAAAAATGATACACCTAGTTTGAAAAAATAGTCTGGCAGTTACTTTTAAAATTAAACATATTTATACATGATTCCACCCTTTAGATATTCACTGAGAGAAATGAAAACACATATCTATGCAAACTTGTTTATTCATAATGATTCCCAAACTGGAAACAATCCATGTGTTCATCAATGATATGATTTTGTTAGGATAAATCCCTGGAAATTTAATTTTTAGAGGAGTGCATATATTTTTAGGGCTTTTGATGCATAATGTAAATTATATTCTAATTTTCAAAAATTATATGGGTTGCATATAATATAGTTATGTTTCATCATATGGCGAATAGTTTCACTTAATTCCACATACTGAAAGGAGAAAGAGAGGGAAAAGGAGAAGGAAATAGCATATGGTGCAGGATTCTGTCTGCCCTTCCTCCTCATGGCATCGTGAAAAAGAGGCCTGCACTGATGAAGTGGGAGATGTAGCTCTGTTGTTTCCTTCATGGATCTCAGTTCCTGTGGAACTCAGTGTGAGCGTTGTCACCCTGTGTGTGATTCTAGGGTTTGCACATCTGTATTTTTTGTATAATATGATCTAAGCACTTCCAAAGTTTCAACTGGAAATGAACAAAAACATACAGTGATCTAATCCATACTTGAGAAAAAAAATTCATTGTCTTAGGCCATTATGGGCCATAGAAACAATTTTTACTGTAAACAAATTTTGGCCTTGACACATTGATATTAATATGGAGATTTAACATAAGATCCCTCCAGATCCAGAGGTTATTTACCATTAAGATAAAGCTAAGTTTTAGGACATCAAACTCTGGTGCTGGCAGGGTCCTATCAATAGGATCATACCGTCACTGGATGAGGTCCAAGGAGGTCTCCTCAGAGATGAGGACCTCAACTCATACACCCACAAAAAATTAGTTTCATCAACTCTCATCACAGAAAAGCATTTCATGCATCAGTAAGAGGCACAGGCAGATTTATTAAGCAGAATCAAAGAAGCACATCCTCACAAAGGACAGTATGGGGGGGGTATTCTGAAGACAGATCTGGAATTTTTTTTGTTGTTGTTGTTCTGGGATCCAACTCAGGTTCTTGTGCTTGCAAGGAGGCAGCAGCACCACTGGACTAAATCCCCAGCCCTAAGTCTAGAATTCTTAATAGGATTCTTACTCCTGTCAGAACACCTGTTAGTGTGCTAGGATGTGTTAGGATGCAAATCATTTGCATGTATTTAAAGTTTAGATGAATGCCGCACAACTAATATTGCTCTTTCCTTGAGGGTGGAGGTCTAGAGGATTAGAGAATTTGGAAAGGAAAGCATGGGCCCAATTTATAGACTCATTGTATCCTTAGGACTATTGGGAGTTAGAAGTCTAGGGGAAAAGAGGCCTAAGATATGGTTGCCTTGGATAATTTAGATTGCGTCTGGAAGCTGCAGTTTTCTTAAAAGTAGGATTTAAAAATTATAATTTTCTTGTTTTCTTTACACATCTTTATTTCTTTTGTCCTAATTCAACATGATTATTTATATTATGCCATAACAAAAATAAGACAGTTTTTAATTTTATTTCTATCAGTACCTGTTTGCAATGTATAATGATTACATTCATCACAGCAAGTTGGTAAATGTACATAACACATCTTAATTCTTTTTTTGTCCTCTGCTCCTCTTTCCTCCCTCATTCCTCCATCACTTGATCTCCTTCCCTTTTGCAAAAGATCTCTCTCTCTCTCTCTATCTTTTGTTATCTTTTATTTTGAAAGGTAAAACATTTTAATTAAAACCTGTTAAGGCATTTGCTTTTTCTTACTCTCAATCATATTTTTCATTATGTTGAATGTTACCAAACTGGCTGAAGGCATTTTAGGGTGCTGGCTAAATTGAAATTGAATTGCAGCTACATTTAGTTGGGGTTTGGAGGACTATATTTGTGGAGTTGTATTGGTTCCCATGTTTATTTAAGCTATGGCGACTCCCC